ATCTAGATATTCGTTCCAGTTATTTTTTTTAAGTTTTCCTCACTAGTCGAGCTAGATGAGATGGTAGATACTTGAGGTGATGAATCTTGCTTCTCTTTTGGTGGATCTGATGCTTCTGGGGCCTTGCTAAAAGTTGGGATAATATAAGTTTTTCCATGTATTTCAATACGAAATATCTTTTTATCAGCATCTGGAACACATTTAACTTTTCGAATCCATACCATACCTAAACAAATCATAGGTTTTAGTTCCCCATCATCAATACGTGCAAAATTTCCTGTAACAGTAATAATTTTTCCTTCCTTATCTTTTAAAGAAATTGGTACATCCGTATACCATCCCAATGATTTGTCAACGTGTTCTGAATTACCTTTATATTGGAAGTCGAATGGTAGATCAGGTTTCCATCCTAATGCTTCCCCAAATGCGTTATTTACTGCATTGAATTCACTCCCTAGGTCAAGGTAAGTATTGTAAATCGTCAAATCACATACATAGCAAACTAAATATTGGAGAGATTCAAACCATTCGTTTGTTTTCTCGCTATCCATAGGACAATTCATTTCTGATTTCTTAGCAGTAAACGAAAATTTGCATATTCTTTGCATTGCTGGTGATAATGAAGATAATAACTGATCATAAGTTCTGGGGATTATATTACCTTGAGACTTACCTTGAGACTCACCTTTTTCTGGAGGCTTATTAACTATTGGTAATATCCGTTTTTTTTTTCATTCGAAGATTGGCTCACGCCAGAATTATCGTCATACCATATATTATCTTCTTCATTATATCCACTATTTTCTTGACTTATTGGTTGAAAGGGATAATATCGTTGTGTTCGATTTGTTTTGGCTACTGGTTTTTGGGGTTGTTTGTCTATATTAAGGCGAGATAACATATTCCCAATTTCATCTACTTTCTCCTCTAATCTGGAGTTATCTTTTTGCTGTGGACGAGGTCTTTGGAAAGGTTTTTCAGTATATTTTTTATCTAAATCTTCTTTACTATATATACCTAAATCGTTAAAGTATTTCGCTATATAATAATTTTTATAATCTTCTTCTGTTGTTAAATTTGATGGGGGGCCTCTTGGCTGTCTAACCGGTTCAACGGTTTGTGGAACTGGTGTCTGTGTTTTCTGCACTTTTTGTGATTGGAGTTCGGCTTTCAATTTTTCTATTTCAGCTTTGTGCTCTGTTTGCTGTTTTTTTAATAATTCTTGCTGTTTATTAAATTCATCTTGAAGCATTTTTTGGAAATCCTGAGTTGGCGGTTGTGAAACTATAGGTTGCGGTATAATACTGTCATTTTGCTGATGTTTTTTATTTTGTCTAACCTGAAAAGCTTGTTTTTGATTTAATTCACGAT